GTTGGATCAAGGATCACAAGCATCCTTTATAACTGAGTCAGCTGCGCAATTACTTCGTTTAAGGAGAGTAGTCTCAAAGACTACTATTGCAGGTATAGGAGGTGAGCATAGCAAGATCGTTTCTAAACATGTAGTGAATATTGATATTCAATCGTTGCATGATTCCTCTTATACCATAACGTAACTGCGCATGTACTACGTTCACTGACATCGGTTATGCCAGATAAGAATGTCAACCTTGACAATTGGCCAGAAATTCACAGCATACGTCTAGCCGACCCAAATTTCAGTCGTTCTAATAAAATTGATATTTTATTAGGGGGGGAAGTATACTGCCGTATTTTAAAGGAAGGTCTGATCAAGAGTCCTACAGGCTCTCCGGTCGCACAAGACACGCATTTAGGTTGGATTGTGTCAGGCTATGTCAGTAAGGCAGATAGCTCTCTAAAATTCTCATAATACTATAATCACGATGTACACTAAATAGAAGAGAATGATATGTTAAAACGTTTATGGGAATTGGATTCCGAACCTGCTATAACGAAAAGCTTCTCACGCCTGAAGAACAGGCCTGCGAAGAGTTTTACGCACAATCGACAGTTAGAGATGTCATGGGAGATATGTCTAAAACCCCCCCATTTTTTCTCGTAAAATTACCTTTTCGTTCCGAAGATCCACTTTGTAAATACGGTAATTCTAAAAATATAGCTGTAAAAAGATTGCTATGTTTAGAAAGGAAGCTGGGTAGGGATGATGAATTAAAACAACAGTATGCTGATGTAATAAAAGAATATTTATTGCTAGGTCATATGGAGAAAATCGTTGATAAGGCTGAAATAAATAAAAACGATGCTGTTTATTTGCCTCATCACGCAGTGGTTAGACAGGATAAATTAACCACTAAGGTAAGAGTGGTTTATGACGCGTCATGTAAGGGAACGAACGGGGTTTCCTTAAATGACACCTTAATGGTAGGACCCACTCTTCAGGCAGATTTGCGACATATTGTCATGAGATGGCGTCAACATCCGATCTGTCTGGCTGCCGATATCGTCAAAATGTATCGCCAAATCAAGGTCGCTCGACCTGATACAGATTATCAAAGAATTGTTTGGAGAGAGAATCCAAACAAAGAGATCGAGGATTACCGACTTCTGACTGTCACCTTTGGTACGTCATGCGCTCCTTACTTAGCTGTAAAGTCGTTGCAACAAGTTGCGTGCGATGAAGGCGAGAGGTATCCAATGGCTGCTGAAAGGGTGAAGTCAGACTTCTATATGGACGATCTGATGACTGGGTGTCAATCTGAAACAGAAGTAAAACTAATTTATGATGAAATGAATTGTCTATTAGAGAAAGCGGGGTTCCAATTGCAAAAGTGGACAAGCAATAGACCATCCATTTTGGAAACGTTGAAGGAAACTTCTGGTAGAGACCTTGAAATAAAAATGGATAGTATAACTAAGATTTTAGGACTTACCTGGAACCGGAACACTGATGAATTTGATTATTCTGTGAAGATGTCACCTCCTGCTGCACCTGAAACAAAAAGGACAGTTATATCAGAGATATCAAGCTTTATGATCCATTGGGTTGGATAGCACCGTGCATTATAACCTCGAAGGTTTTCATACAAAAGCTATGGATTAGTGGAATCGGCTGGGATGATGAACTGCCACCAAATCTCTTACAAGAATGGTCATATTATAGAGCAGAGTTAAAGAAACTGGTAAACTTTCACATTCCTAGATGGATACATAAAAGCGAAAAAGATATTACAATGGAGTTACATGGCTTTAGCGATGCGTCAAATATAGCTTATGCGGCTGTGGTGTATTGTCGCATTGTCGATGCTAATGGGCAAATACACTCGCACCTCATAACCGCAAAGAAAGGTAGCTCCCATCAAGCAAATATCCATTCCACGGCTGGAGTTGTGCGGTTCTGTTTTAGTAGCAAAATTATTGATTGATGTAGCTCAAGTAATGAACATTCCTAAGGCAAATATACATGCTTGGACGGATTCATCAGTTGTTTTGGCCTGGTTAAATGATCATCCAAGTCGATGGAAAACTTACGTGGCTAATCGTACTTCTGAGATTCTTGGTTTGCTAGACAATTCGCAGTGGGCTTATGTTAAATCTAAAGAAAATCCAGCAGATATAGCTTCCCGGGGAGTGTCTTCAGCATTTCTCCTTGGTGATGATCTTTGGAAACATGGACCTGGTTGGTTAAGGAATGCTCAGATAGACTTCACCCGGCCTAGTGCCATTCATACTAATGAGGAGTTAAAGCAAGTTAATGTTCACACTGCCAGCGTAGTGCCTGATTTTGAAGTCATTTGGGGATCTAAGTATTCATCACTTTCACGTTTGGTGAGAGTTGTTGCGTATTGTAAAAGATTTTTGCAATCATTAAAACTTCGTAAAGCGAATATTAAGGTTGCAAAATACCTGTCAGCTTCCGAAATTCACAAAGCGTTGAATGTATGTATCAAACAAAGCCAACAGCAATGGTTTCAGGCTGAATTGACAGCCCTGAAAAATAAGAGTCCATTGGAAAGGTCGAGTTCTTTATATAAGTTGAATGTATTTATCGACCAATGTGGGATATTGCGAGTTGGAGGAAGGCTACGGTATTCACCATTACTTGATGATACAAAGCACCCAGTTGTTATTCCTCATGATTCAAGTTTGGCTAAGTTAATTGTAGCCGACGCTCATGAAAGGACCTTTCATGGAGGACAGCAACTGGTACTTAATTTTATACGCATCAAGTACTGGATCAGTCGGGTTAAAAATATTGTACGAGCTTATATACGTCGTTGTGTTCGCTGTATTCGATACTCGGCGACCACGAATCAACAGCTTATGGGAGAACTTCCGGTTTGCAGAGTGACTCCCAGTAAGCCGTTTCTGAACTCCGGTGTCGATTATGCAGGCCCTATTCACATTAGAGTCTCCAAAGGTCGTGGACAGCGGTCGTATAAGGGGTACATCTGTTTGTTCGTATGTATGGCTACGCGCGCAGTACACATAGAGGTTGTTTCAGATTTGACGACTGAGGGTTTCCTGGCAGCGTTCAAACGGTTCGTTTCTAGGCGCGGTCACTGTCGTCATATCTGGAGCGACAATGGTACAAATTTTGTGGGTGCTGCTAAAGAGTTGCAGATGCTTTTCAACCAACAGAGTTCGATGTACAAAGACATTGCAGCTGCTCTTGCAAACTCTCAAACAGAATGGCATTTTATCCCTCCTCACGCTCCTAATTTTGGTGGGTTGTGGGAAGCAGGGGTGAAAAGTGTAAAACACCACTTGAAGCGTGTGATAGGTGACTCCACTTTGACGTTCGAAGAACTGTCCACAGTACTTTCCCAAATCGAGGCATGCCTAAACTCTAGGCCCCTGTCTCAGGGTAGTAGTGATCCAGAGGATCCTGTGCCTCTGACTCCGGGTCATTTCTTGGTGGGTCATCCATTGGTAATGGTTCCTGACTACAACTATGAAAGTGTCACAGTTAGCACTTTACGCAGATGGCAATTAGTACAGCGTATGGTGCAGCACTTTTGGCGTAGATGGAAACAGGAGTATTTAACAAACTTTTTTCAAAGGCATAAGTGGAATGTTCGTAAACCTGACTGTAAAATAGGTGATGTAGTTTTAATAAAAGAAGATATCTTACCTCCAGCTAAATGGTTGTATGGCAGAATTGTTGAGCTGCATCCGGGTAAGATAACTTGACGCGAGTTGTCACTGTTCGTTGTAAGGGCTCTATGATTAAACGTCCAATTTCAAAATTGTGTTTTCTTCCTGTTACTGAATAAGGCACAAAATCTTGTAGATTTAATTGTTTAAGTTGCGTATGTTTTTAGATAAGGTTTTATTATGTTATTTTCTTATACTGCACTGTTGAAATAACAATGTCTCTTACTCTTGTGCACTGTCATGTATTGATTACAATGTTTAGTTAGTAGTTTAGTTATATTTTTTTTGTCAGAATTTTGTCAACCTGATATTTTTGCCGGTAACAAGAATTTCGTCACCCAGATTAATGTTTTTGTACTTATATCTATTCATTTTGATTGAAACCATAACTGTCCGCGCCAATGTCTGCTAAAAGAAGCCGTCCACTAGATCTATCTCGATGTATTATTCGTAATATAGTAATATAATTGTTATACAGTCCACTGTTCTCCTAGTTGTTAAGTTTATGCATGGTGGGCGGTACGAAAAGGAATATATTCCTTTTGGTGGGCGGAATGTTCAGTGTAGAAATAATCTGTTTAAAAGATGCACTCGGCCAACGCCATACTACTATTTATTGTGTTGTCCCATAGCTCGATAGATGGCGTTGGCCGATTTAAATTCAAGCTATGGTTTCGTTACCGGCAAAACATTAGGTTGTCTGCTTTGACGTAAATAAATTGTCTTGCTCTGAGGTACTTCGTATTATTTCAAGTAATAGGCTCCAAAGGACTTTCGGCCGATACTGTTCACTCATATTTCCTACTTAACTATCGGGTGGTGGGCGGTGGCATTGACAAGTATGTCACAGCGCCTATGTATCTGTGCGTTCAAACAGTAGCAGTGAGAGGATAGAACCTCACTGTTCTATCCCCGTGTATTTATAGGCTTTAGATAGATAGGCTTTAGGACAGAGTAATGTTATAATAATAAGGTTTTTACTAATTAAAATGATATAACGAGTTTTTGTTCGCAGCTTCGCTTTTCCGAGGGTTTGGGTAAATGTATTCATACACAAATATTCCGCATGTCAATAGCAATGCTGCTTACAATCATCCAGTCCATTTTAGGGAAGTAAAGAAAGAAGGGAAGTAGTGTTAGAAAGAGACAAAAATAGCCTATGCCACTCTCTTTTGCCGTGAAAGATGGACAAACAAACAGACAGATACACTTTTTCATCTTTTATAATATTTGTTTACACAATAAACCTTTATTTTTATATTATGGAATGTATATCTTACAAATAAATTTTACAAACTAAAAATGAGGCAAACAAACTTTGCCTGCAAATAACTCAGATATCACAGTAATCCAGAGAGACAAAACAAACAAAATGTATGATATGCCAACTTGGTGGCTGTTTGGTAGTTGGTATGGCTGTCCTCCAATTTCATCTACATGGAAACCCATGGGGAATATGACTGCTGCTAAGCAAAACACCACCACTGGAAGCCAAAAAGTATCCATTAGAACATTTTTACAATAATAAATTGAATAATGTAAAAAAACTATTTATATAATTTATTACTTGCTGCAAATCCAACCCATCGTGCATATGGTATTACATTTCTATCGAAATGGCTAGATGCTAGTAGAATCACAGTAGTTGTTATGCATATACACCCAATAAATATGCAAATTAACGCAAGCAGCCACTCAGGTTGAAGATCTGGAGTGTAACAGACTTGAGGCCGGTTGTAGAGAGTGATACAGGACCACATCAAACCTAGTCGTGTGTCACCTGTATGAAACAAAGAAGTTATCTTAAACTGTCAAACACCGAGCAGTCACCGGTGACCGCAACCTATTGTTCTTTAATTGTGTCTATAAATACGGTACTCGACGAGTTAATTAATTACTTTTATAGATACCTTACTATAGACATTCCACTTAACTTATCATAATAAAATTATATGTGAAGAGCAGTCACATAATTTTTTATGTGTGTGCAATAAAGTATAAATAAATAAAATTTACATAGCTTTAGGACTCAAAAGGAATCAAAAGTAAATAAATTGTAGGATATTGATTAATATTGTTAAACTGTCAAACACCAAGCGGTCACCGGTGACCGCGACCTATTGTTCTTTAATTGTGTCTATAAAACCGGTACTCGACGAGTTAATTGAAGTTAAAAAAGCCCAGGGTCCATTAAAATCATACATGCGCCATTTAACAGACCATAACTAAGAGGTCACAAATAATACTCTATTAGTTTTGGCCAAAATTATAAACTAATGAAACAGCAGCCTGCAGAATATGACAGTTTTGTGCAATACAGAATATCACAGCAGAGCGAGTGAATAATTTTTTTTGTTTCTATGTTTGTCACTAATAAAAGTGATGAAGAATTCAGCTAACAAATTACATTTACGAGAATTACAAGCAAACCTTTCAAACATATAAGGTTTTACAAGATTAAACACACATCATCATAATACAATGTGGTTTTGTTAATAAAAACCAGTATACATTGACACAAATCTACAGAAACGTCATACGAAGCGAGCCCATGATAAATAGGTCTCATTTGTTTATTATAAAGTGCTAGTTTTATTGAATTTGGGGTATATATACTATGTACTCTACTGACTCTACCTTGCCACATATACATTATTTTAATCTATTCTGGGTATTTGCTCCATACATTTTTGGGCATTGTCGTTTATTATGGTCTGGATGGTTCCAAGGTTACTATGATTGACATACCTCCAACTTCAGTTATAATCCAGTCAGGCATTGCAAGACTTACAATGGCAAAAACATCAGCTGCCATAAATAAAGTTCCTGATATAACTGTTAATTTATCCATCGTTTAATAAATATATGCCACTTGTTATTTATTTTTATTATTATCAGGCTTTCATATTGAAGCACTATTGGTGATTGAATAAGGAGTTTGAAGACAGCCGTGATCCCGAGCCCTCTCAAATAATATTTTTTTTACTTATACGCAAACTTAATTAACTAAAAATATTGATCAAACGTTAAAATATTATGGTAAACTTGTGTTTTACAAAACAAAGATTACTTTTACCAATTCGTGATAATCTGACAGTGCCAATGACAAACTGCAAAGTGCAAAATTAAACTGTCAAACATGGTTTCTTTGACAATGACAGCTGATATAATCTTCGGTGTTTGGCCATAGAGTCAACTCATTTGGCTGACATTTTTAGCATGGTTTTATCGTAGTATCTGTAAGTAGTCTGTGGTTTTATCGTTAGTAGTGTTTTTGGAAATTTTAAACCCTTAGAGCCCTACGCTCTTCAGGTTCTTATCCCGAACCTGCGGATAACCTAACGGGATACTGGGGCTCGGACTCTAAGCAGGAGTAGAAACGGGTTAGTTAGTTAGTTTTTAATCAGTTAAATTCTGACATTCTTTATGAAAGTCCTTGGCCCTCCCCCCCAAGATGGATTCTTCGCACAATCTTCGCGTTCTTTCCAACTTTCAATATAGAGTTTTAGTGTCGTGCGACTGCCGTTCCCCTATACTTATTATACTCTTTGGACTGCCGCATGTTTACCGCGTCGTTGGCACCAATATTGGCTCCACACGTTACTCGTCCAACGTGTGGATTTTAAGACATGGTATTGGTCCCAACTTTTGGGCGAGAGTTAGTTCTTGGCCGGCTTGTGTCGGTTTTATCAAAGGGATCTGCGCCAACGTTGGCGATCTGTCCACACGTTGGCGCTTTGCTGAGTTCTGTTCATAGATTATACAATATACACAGGGGGAATGGCTTCCTCATCGACAAAATTGTCACCGGCGTGGACAAATGAAAAAGTTATACAATTTATTGAACTTTATGAAGCACAACCAATAATATGGGAAGCGTCTCGAAACAATCATAAAAATAAAATAATACTAGGTGATGCATGGCGCACCATTCAGCAGAATAGGGGATGACTTTGTCAGTTGAAGATTAAAAAAAAGCGAGGTCCATTTTTGAGCACATGTCGCCTATACCTACAAAACTGACAACTAGACTGCACGGTTGGCGCGGTGGCTGGGCAACTGGCTGCCACACAACGTGTCGCGGGTTCGATTTCCGCACGGAACAACTATTTGTGTGATCCACAGATTGTTGTTCCGGGTCTGGGTGTCATGTGTTTGTGATATTGTATGTTTGTAAACGCACCCACGACACAGGAGAAAATCCTAATGTGGGGCAACGTTTTACAGTATTTTTTTTTTTAAAAGAAAGTTAGTGACTTGCGCTCAGAGCTCAGAGCAGTTTCAATTTCTGTATCGGACATCTTCACATTGGTCCTGATGAGACAGAATTAGTTTATTTGCCAACGTGTATACACCTCACCGTATTTGTATTCCAACGTTGGTACGAATGATAAGACCAACGTGTGCAGATAGCCTTAGAGTTAGACTCAATAAGTGAAACAAGTGAATTTATTTCTGCAAATAGGCTACAGCCTACAAGGCAGCACTTTTACACGTCAATTTTATCAAGCGAACGATGAGGTCGACATTTCTTATCTGACTACTCTGAGAAGAAATGCCGAAACAAACTCAGAGGTCTGTCTCTTTTAAAGTCCAGACAAATATGTATAAAAAGATTATGATCAATTTAATCATTATTTTGTTTTACATTCGTCCATATGTATGTATATCATTTGGGGTGGACATATTAAACAACGTAGGTAATGTTTAATATACCTAGACATAAAATAATATTTTTTACTAAACGATGTCAGATCCTGACCCACTCACCCAAACCCAAGAAATCCTTACTTATCCTTACTTATATTATAAATCGGAAAGTGAGTTTGTTTGTTTGTTTGTTCCACTTTAACGCCATAACTACTGAATCGATTGCTTTGAATTTTTACAGATGTAAAGTTAGAAGTCCGGATTAAATAATAGGGTAATTTTAATCCCGGAAAAATTTTATATTCCCGAGGGAAAACAAAAGTATTGGTATAGATGGCGCTGTGTGTATATGTCACATTGGCTTATTTTTATCCTTTTGTGACGCGAGCGAAGCCGCGGGTAAAAGCTAGTGGAAAATAAACAAAATTGTTCAATGATAAATAAAATTATTTATTATCTAAGTACATTTATGTTAAGAGTAGGTACGTACCTACTTCTATTACTTGATACTCAGAAGGTGAAGAAATTAAGGACCTACTAAAACAAGTATCTACGTACATTATGCACCTAACTATTACATAGGTAGGTAATGTCTTAGACAATATATATCATACCAATTAAAAAATGAGGACTACCTAAACTGAAACTAGTAGGTACCTAATTTAAAAGATATCAATAGAAATACGGGTTTCGACGTAACCGATCGACTGGGGACCTTCTTGCGTATGCCACTCACATATGGAGCGAGGCCATAGAGGGGCACGGAGAGGCACTAGCAGTCTCCCTCGATATTTCGAAGGCCTTTGACAGGGTATGGCACGACAGTCTAATCGGCAAGCTTCCTGCATATGGACTTCCTACTGGTCTGTGCAGATGGATAGCAGACTTTCTGAGGGATCGGTCAATACGAGTAGTCATCGATGGGTGCTCGTCTGACCAATTCGGTATTAACTCGTCGAGTACCGGTTTTATAGACACAATTAAAGAACAATAGGTCGTGGTCACCGGTGACCGCTTGGTGTTTGACAGTTTAATGCCGGCGTCCCTCAGGGGTCAGTACCTACTTTCAGCGACGCTCTTTTTGCTGCACATAAACGACCTGCTTAAGCCCGGTATCTTTGGGTATGCAGATGCCAGCACAGTTGTTGAAAGGTAAGGTGTGTTGGGGTAAGATCGGCGCTGGGGTAAGAACGTAGGAATCAAATATACCACTTATTTGGCCATATTTTTTAATGTTAGCCACATTGCCCGCAACGTCATTATGTTTCACCCCGCCTAGCAGTGATCGCTAGTCGCTCCGGCTACTTGGACGTGTACTACGCGCCGTTAGAGAAAACAATGTAAGTTTTATAAAATATTTGTTTATCCGATCTTTCACCTGCATTTTAATTTACATATTTTAGCAAAAGTATAGCTTATTTTGGATTTGTTTTGCCTAAATTCTAAGTTTTAAGCAGTGATAACATGATAAAACTCATCCAGATACGGCTACTACATCTGTGGGCTGAAATCCGGTGTTACCCATCACTAGTAAAGATCGGACAAAAATATCCGGTCTTATCCCGTTTCTAAATTGCCAGTGATTTTCAAACTTTTATTACACATCATTTTAAATATCTACTTAATGTGTTCGTAATCGTTTTATTATGGCGCTTAAAATCCAGGGTCACACTGTTTGATTCTTCAGCTATCTGTTTTCTTGATTATTTACATTGATTTTAAATGAATAGATACTTATAACAACAATTCATTTGCAGATGCCACGTATATACTCTAGAACCTCTTCGCGGGCCAGAAAATAAATATTATGGAGCTCTCCTATGCAGCCGCTTCAAAAATGTACGGCATACCTACATCCACACTTAGTAACTGCTACTAAAAACCAAAAATGTGTATTTTGATAGAGATTTTTGTTATTGTTTTGATTTTTGTTTTCTAGATCGTTGTCATAGACGGTTCAGTTTAATAAAGATTTCAGTTTGATAATAGAAGATGTTTAACTCAATTAACCTGAAATGTCTACGAGAACTGTCAATTCTTAGATAAGTATAATTGTTTTGTTTATATTCCTTTTTTTCTATTGACGAATTTTAATTACATATAGTACCTATTATAATTTTGTTCATTCCTTGTTAGTGATTTCTATATTTCATATTATTAGAATATAATGTTTCATACTACTATTAACTCGTTTTAATATTTGAATATTCCGATTCCCTTCATTTCTCTACCAACCGCACAGTATTTCAGTTTTATAACGCTTAAATATTCGCTTACTTTTCCTTTTTGATACTATGCTTGTGGGTAAAACCAAGCTTTGAGAATCCTAATTTCTTTTAAATTTGGCATTTGGGGTAAGATCGGACAAATTACACACACAAAAAAATAATAGTTTGGTACATTTATGTCTGTAGTATTAGGTAAATTTTTTTGATGTCATGTTAAAGAACAGGAAAGATCGGATACATTCTTTTCATACACCTTGTGCTCCTAGCAATAGGACTAGTTTTAAATTGTTGTCCGAACTTACCCCTTGATAGCCTAATCGTCATTGCATTCACAAAAAATATGTTCAGATTTTACAGGCTTATAAAGCAAAAAGTATTGAGTGTTTATAAATAAATTAAATTTTAAATAACACTGTGTTGAATCATTAGTGATTCCACTATTTTTCATCAATGTGCTGTGTACCAAATTTCAGAAAAAAAAGTTTTTGCAACATCCTTGCAACTATTCGAAAATCCGTCCGATATTACCCCAAGGCACCTTATGTGTCCGGAGCGCGGATTAGCGGAACACAGATCCAGTCTTTAAGAGAATCCATGGTCGAACGTTTGAACTCGACCTTGAAGGCGGTGTCCGACTGGGGTGACGCCAACTTGGTTAGGTTCAATGCTAGCAAGACCCAGGCCAGTGCCGTAACTAGCCTTCTAGGCGCCCGGTGCCAGTTTTCAAAACTGCGCCCTTGAAAAATGTCCTTACCAGGCTCTGACAATAAAATGGACAAATGTGCAGGAAAATATAACTGTTTATTGTTTACCAAGTTATAAGTCGGTACTTAGTAGATGTTTTAAGACAATTCGTTGCTACCATTCCGCGATGAGATCGCGCCGGAGCTCTTCCCGCCACGCACTTATCTGGCGCGGCAACGGAGCGATACTCGTCGCATGCGATACAAGCGCGCGAGCACTTCGCTTCTAGATCCCACGGCGGTAATCCGGCAAGGAGGTTCGCCGACTCCCCGGAGATCGTGCGGTATCCGCGGATCATTCGGATCGCCATGACCCTCTGTGACATGAGCAGCGCCCGAGCGGGCCGCCGCATCAGATTCGGCGCCCACACAGGGGCGCCGTAGAGGGCCAGGCCAGGCCGGGCAGGAGGCGTTTGGCCCCCCGATTTTGGGGAGGATGCGCTTAAACGCAGCCCCCGTCCTCTCCAACTTTGGAGCCAAACGTCGGAAGTGCTCCACGAAGTTCCACCGACTGTCGAGGACGAGTCCTAGGTTCTTCATCGTCGTCTCGACGCCGATGGTAACCTCTCCCGCCGTTATTTGGGACTCACCCGGAGGTGGCGCGTTCCCGCGGCCATAAAAACACATAGCCTCGGACTTGTGGACCGCCACCTCGAGTCCCAATTGCCGGATTCTCTCAACAACTGTCGCAACCGCTGTCGCCATTAAGTCAGCAGCTGCCTTGTGCGACCTCCCGTGCGCTAGCATCAGCGTGTCGTCGGCGTAGCATATGATGATATCGCCGTTCTTGAGGTCGGTGCGCAGTACCCAGTCATAGCCGATGTTCCACAGGAGCCGCCCCAGAACCGAACCCTGTGAAACACCTCTGTGACATCTCTCGCCAGTTCCACTCGCCTCGGTGACCGGGGTAAATGACGGACCTGTCCGTCAGGTAAGCCTCGGAGTACCTCCAAGATGCAGCTCCAGGGCAGGGAGTTGAAGGCGTTGGCGACGTCCAGAGACACCGCCAAAACGACCTTACCCCTGGACACTGCAGTCCCCGTCCCCGTCCGGTCCCTAACGCGCATGATGGCGTACGCCATGGAGCGCCCTCTGCGGAAGCCGAACTGGCCGTCCGACCGGTCCGGTCCAATGTCCGTGAAGTGCGCGACAAGTGCGCGCAAGTACTATGGGCCGGTACGCGGACGGAGAATCCGCAGGGCGCCCCGTCTTCCGCACGAGGACCAGTTTACCCGCTTTCCAGAGCAGCGGGAACTGGCCTCTCTCCAAGCATGCGCTGTAGAGACCGATTAATCGAGGCCCCTGAGGCCAGGACCGATGCTTTGCTATGCAAGCCTGTCCTGGAGCGGTGTTCTTGGCGCCCATCCGGCGCACCACCGCTCTCAGTTCTGCCTCGGTCACCTCTGAGACGATGTCGTCGTCGTCGTCGCTATAGCCTGCGTCGGGCACAGCAGGGGGCGGAGTCATATACGTAGGGGTGAAGCCCCTCCACAATCGGGGGAACAGGGCGCCAATCACCTCTTCTAGCCGTTGACTCTGAGTGAACGGGGGAGCCCAAGCGCGAAGCTTGTCGCGTACCATCCGGTACGGGTGTCCCTAAGGGTCTCTGTTCAGAGTCCCCAGCATCTCTCGGCGGGCCTCCTCCTTGGCCCGCAGTATTTCCGCCTTGAGGACGGCCTTTGCCGCCCTGTATCCCTCGTACAACTCCGCCTCTCTCGCCTCCGCATTCGGAGGACGGATGCGGCGCCTGCGGTGCCTAGTGTACTGGCGTCGCGCAACAGTGCACGCCTTGCGTAGAGCTGCCAGCTCTTGCGACCACCAGTACACCTGGCGCAGATGATTCAGATGACGCAGACCTCCCCCTCCGTTACGGAGTCGTCCAGGCCCAAAATTCTGACATCCAGGCATTTGGTGGGCCTGGACACGCGAGCCTCGTCCGCACTGAGGTACGCCCTAAGCCTCTCGGCCGATGGGCCGCTGGTCGCGCCGGGGACCTTGTCTGATGTGTAGTGAGTCGTTTGAAATGTGTTGTTGATTCAAGATCGTTTAAAAATGCGATACAGATTTAGATAGTAAAGTCTGGTCATTTCTGCGCCCCTCCAGGGTCTGCGCCCTGTGCCTGGGCACCGCTGGCACCGCCCTATTTACGGCGCTGACCCAGGCGTGTCTATTCTCCGCCAAACGGAGTCAATTTCCGCTGACTCCTACTTTCCGGAATGTATCCGTACCGATAACCGATCGTCTTGAGCTTCTTGGTGTAACTCTGACGCCCACACTCAACTTTGGCTCCTATATAGAGTCAAAAGCGCAACTGGCTGGTAGGAAGTTGGGTGTCCTATGGAGGGTGAGACGGTACTTCACGCCGAGACAATTGCTGAGCCTGTACCAAGCACAGGTTCGGTCCTGTATGGAGTACTGCTCTCATCTTTGGGACGGCTCGGCAAAATATCAGCTGGACGCGTTAGAGCACATTGAGAGGCGTGTCAGGAGGCTCATCGACGATGATGCGCTTGTGAAGGCTCGGCTTCAAAGCCTCGAACACAGGCGTAAGGTTGCAAGCCTTTCGGTTTTCTACCGGATACATTTCGGGGAGTGTGCGGGGGAATTGCACAACTTGATTCCCCCTAGTCCTTTCCATCATCGTACCACAAGACAATCCGCGAAGCATCTACCATGAATCGGTGACGATTCATGGTAGATGTTCCGCCCACACGCACGAAGCGCTTCGCTTCAAGCTTCCTTGTGCGTACTGCTAAAGAGTGAAATTCTTTGCCAGAATCTGTATTTCCTGAAGGGTATAACCTGGGAGTCTTCAAGGCCCGAGTGAATAGGTTGCTTATGGGACGACGTGCTCCATCGTAGACCGCATCATCGCTTACCATCAGGTGAGATAGTGGTCAAACGTCGCCCCATCAAATATATATATATAAAAAAAAAGACGTAAGAAATTCCAATTAACAAATTAAATTATTTTCATTAAACTACATTATTTTATGTACGTTTAAAAGAATCCAACTTTAACCTCCTTTTATTTAAATTTCTAATCTAAAAATCCTCCTACATTAACGTGTAACAAATACTTTTCTGAAAACAGTACCAAAACGGCTCAGACAAACATACACAAACAAACATACACACACACACACACGATGACTTATTTTTCTCAATGCCTTTAACACTTCAATGTTTATCGTGTTACATTGTTACATGGTGTTTACCAACTGCGTCATCTGGCCTAGTAGGTGTTTCCACTGTTTTTGCGTTTTCTTTGAAAATTGTTTATGGAATATAATAGGAAATATTTGGGAAAGGAGGTAAAGAGTATCCGGTGGGACAATCGGATTTAAAAAGAAATTTTTTTTTGTCATAATTTGTTATTTCATGTAAGCATTTTAGTTACACTTGTAAGTAATAATAATATTTCAGTCCGTTAAACATGCCATAGTCATCGTTTAGAAAACAATATTTATGATTTCTTTAGCATTTACAGTATACATTAACAGTAACAGTAAGGCCTTTCAAGAGTAGACAAGCAAGATAAATGATTTTAGGTAATATTAATTAATGACGGGTTATGTTCGCCTTATTATACAATTTAAAACTTGTAAACTTATTAGTGCTATATAAATTTCTTTATATATTTGATGGGCCTACGTTTGGCCACTATCTCGCCTGGTGGTAAACGATGATGCAGCCTACGATGGAGCACATCTGCCCATTCACTCGGGCCTTGAAGACACAATATTTTTTTATTGTTGTACAACGAAAACAAAAAAATGGAACGGTGTAATGTTATATTTTTAAATCAATATTGTATTTTTTATGTGTATTGAAAGAGTTAAACAATTTATTAAATTTCTTTAAAATATCCTTAAAAATCATGTATGCCCTAAGGGCCTACTGAAATATGTCAATACCGTATTGAGAGTGTTTATTTTAAGCTATAACTAACTTACAATTACTAAAATTATATTGCGTTCGTCGGCAATTTTGGGAGGTACTTACCATCAACACGATAAAACGATTTTCTTAACTCTTCCTACATAAATGACAATATTTTTGGTTTATGTACTTTGCATTGCAGTTTGTAGTGAATTTGAGCTTAAATTAGGTATAAAATAAGGCAAGCTAGTCTATGCTGGCGCTGCAGGTGGAGCATTAGACACCGTATTGCTGGTTGCGGTAGAAACAGTATCATCAGGTTCTTGAATTTGCAGCCAGGGCATGCGGCGCTGAAGCTCTTGTCTGTAACAAAAATATGTCTACATTAATCATTTCTTTGCAGAATTGTATTCGTAAAATTAAATTTAATAAAGTTAAATATTTTTAAGTGGACCTGCGTAGGTACCTATGCCTAAGCTAAGGTAAAGGTAGGGTCTACTGTCCACGACACGTCATTTGACGATGGCATGTAGCATGCAAAGGATAATAGACGGCCTACAAATGACAAATTGAAGCGCTTCGCATCAAGCTTCTTTATGCGTACTGCTAAGGAGTGGAATAATTTGCCAGTGGCACCGACTTCTTACGTACCTATGTATAAGTGGGTGGGTAACTTATCACTTATCTTTTTTTTATATTTTTTGTAATTTAATTTGGTATACACCAATTACAATAAACAATAAATAAATAAATCACTATCAGTAATAATAATAGTTATTTTTACTGACTTCAAAAAAGGAGGGGGAACTATTTTCGGCTGATTGTTATTTTTGTTTGTTCGCGCATTACTCTGCCATTTGTGAACCGATTTCCAAAATTCTTGTTTTGTTTGAAAGGGTATACTCCCGAGATCTTGCCATTTCCATGAGGTCAGGATCTGATGATGGGATCCTAGGGAAACCGAGGGGAACTGTCGAAAATTGTAGGGGCGAGTAATGCATCTATTATGTTTTTCAATTAGAATTTTTAAACACTACAATTTGATAAGGGTCTGGAGTCGACAGACAGTGGAATTCCTCAGCGGTTTGTATTAACTAACTTGTGTTTAGGCTTGATTTATTTGTATTGATGAGTATTTTACACCTAGATACAGTGAGACTGTCATTTAAGGGTCTGATGATGAAGAAGTGTAATTGTTAAGGGAACTCCTTAACGGTATACAGTAACTAATTTGTGTTTAGGCTTCATTAATTTGTATTGATAAGGATTTTACACCTAGATAGAGTGGGGCTGTCATTAAGGGTCTGATGATAAAGAAGTGTAATTGTTTAGGGAACTCCTCAACGGTATAGAGTAACAACCTTGTGTTTGGGCTTGTATAATTTATATTGATTAGAACTTTGCACCTATGTGGATTATAAGTGACAAACCGGATCTATATAGCTTTACAGTGATAATGATAAAGTAATAAAATAAAAACCGCGTTTAAAAAACCGACTTCAAAAAACCAAAATCGAATAACAAACAAAAAGACAAAACTAAAAAGAAAAAAAATAAATATCATTAGTACTGATAGGTTACCCACCCACTGATAGGTTAGAAGTCGCTGACATAATAGTCCAAGAGCCAGTGAACCCTGGGAGTAACGGTCTCCCTGTAAGGTTAGAAATTTGTATACTTACGATTTATGGTATTCTAAGAGCAATAGCCATGACCTGGCAGGCGTCAACCCTGCACGTCATCAGCCCCTTTATTTTTTGAACTGTTAAGTAAATTGGGTTTTAAAACTTGTTTCTGTAAATTTGAAAATTTAATAGGATAAAGTTTATTTATTGTACATCTTAAAAAAAAATTGACAGGTGATTACAATAAGCAGAAGCATATGACAGATCAATTAGAAAACGCACTGTTGATGAGGTAATTAATAAACTTTATCCTGTATATTTGAAATTTTTATATGTCTTCAAATAAACGTCTCAGAGTAAATATGTACAATGCCAGGCGGTTTTGAACAGCATAAGACCTTGACAGGCGAGGGGACAGCTGCTAAGAGCGTGCGAGAAGTGTCATGAAGATGGTACAATACATAAAACTCAGAAATTAGCAATGGTTGAAATTTTAAAGGCAAATGTCAACTGTGAAGACGTACCAAGACGTTTTGATGTTGTCATTTTTGATTTTTGATGGATTCTTCTTACTGCATACATTAAAAAATATCCCCAAAACATTTAGTGGTATTTCCAAAATATTATAACGCTACTAACAGCTACACATGCCTCATGAGTAGATATCATTTTCGACCAATACTTTTCGCCGTCAATTAAAGATAACGAGCCAAACGACAAGAAGTACGAAACAAAAATTATTTCATTACCGGACCAGAACAAATTCGACCAGTTAATTATATGAAAGAACTTCGTAACATACAATTTAAAGAAGCTTAATCTAGAAGTAGATTTTTTAATTACACATTGGAGCACAAATGAAATGATAGAGTTTATCGGGAATACCATAGTGAACTTAAATTATAAACAATGCCATACTTATAGTGGCCATAATAACTCTGTGATTGTCGATATAAATGATGATTTATCGTGCCAAAACCATGAAGAGGCCTTTAAAATTTGCCTTTAAAATTTCAACCATTGCTGATTTCTGAGTTTTATGTATTGTACCATCTTCATGACGCTTCTCGCACGCTCTTAGCAGCTGTCCCCTCGCCTGTCAAGGTCTTATGCTGTTCAAAACCGCCTGGCATTGTACATATTTACTCTGAGACGTTTATTTGAAGACATATAAAAATTTCAAGTATACAGGATAAAGTTTATTAATTACCTCATCAACAGTGCGTTTTTTAATTGATCTGTCATATACTTCTGCTTATTGTAATCACCTGTCAATTTTTTTTTAAGATGTACAATAAATAAACTTTATCCTATTAAATTTTCAAATTTACAGAAACAAGTTTTAAAACCCAATTTACTTAACAGTTCAAAAAATAAAGGGGCTGATGACGTGCAGGGTTGACGCCTGCCAGGTCATGGCTATTGCTCTTAGAATACCATAAATCGTAAGTATACAAATTTCTAATCTTACAGGGAGACCGTTACTCCCAGGGTTCACTGGCTCTCCAGCTATAAGCTCATATCATGTCTGTTTTTAAAATAAAAGCAGTTTTTATGTTTTTACTTACCTATATTTTGGATGACTAATTGCATAAACCCAGGGATCTATACAGGCGACAGCTTTGCATGCTACAGCAGGAATCATGGTAACCTGTGAATACAAAATATGAGATGTAGACACATTTTTCTGATTAAAATATCACAATCAGATAGTTTTTCATTAAAATCAACAATTTCAAAGTAATTGTTTGTTACTAGCATTTTAGACTAGAGGATGCTTTCATAGATATGCATATGTGTAAAGTGAAACTAACTAACTAGTTAACTAGATGGAGTTTTTAATTTACCCCGGGTGTGAGAAGTTGTTGGTCCCCAAAAGCCCCTATAAGTGCCATCACGCCGTAGGGGGTCCACGACGCCACAAACAGGAAGCACACCGTAAGAGCCGCTTTGGCTATCCGGATTTCAGCTGACTCTGCGCCTGAGCTCTGGTTGGCTCTAAGCGATTCTACGTTCATCTTCTTGGCTTGTTCTCTAAACAGTTAAGGTTTCAAATTAGTTGCATTTATTTTTGTATAATAAGTCGATCAGACATATCACATAGTAAACTGACCTCAATGCAGCTTCATGTGCAAAAACCTGCTTTACAATACCACTGTAAAAATATATAATCATCGACATAGGGAACACATAGCTGCAGGTGAAAATGCAGGCAACGAATAGTTTAGTGTCGAATGTATTGGTCAAGTAGTCGAAAGTACAGGATGTTAAATAACCCTCTGAAAAAAGAAAATAAAGATTAAACAAATCTATTTATTTTTAATTTGCAATTTGCGTGTCTTTTCATTGTTTTCACATATACGTACAGTGCTTATTGGAATATGTATCAGAGACATTCTAAAGCATACTTTTGTTTAAAAAGAGCATGACACTCTTCTTTTTCGTTCTTCTCCATTCGAATTCGAATTTACATTTTGGAATGAGCATCTAGCTTCAACTAGCTTCACTGACGGACTAACTATTATTTATTTTGTATTTGTTGACGTTTCAGTACCAAATTATGGTTTAATTAAAATAAATGCTTTGACTTTTAGTTCTGTGTGAAGACGGTAAAGTAATATACCAGGTACGTATCTGCCCCAGATTTTGAACAGTGGTAGAAGTGCCCATGGTGTGCTATATATCCAGACAAATGCCATCATCAGTAGAACTTTACCGCGGGAGAGTCGTCCGTCTAAGGGCCGAGTGATTGTTGAATGCCTGAAACGGTAAATTCATAATAAGTTTTGAAATTAAATCAACTTTGCGTACTGAAGACTTTTTTTAAAATAAAATAGTTTAGAAAATGAAAAATGTAATACCTGTCGTAGGCAATGCATGCATTAGTCATGCCAGCACCAATACCGCTGTACGCACCCATCAACGCAAATATTTGACAACCGACGGTCCCACTAGCAAAGCCTCGCATTGCACTGTTGTATATAAATATTGGGGCTTTTGCCATCATTATAAAGTCTAATATGGCTAATTGTAGAATTAAAAGATTGCTGGAAGTCCTTAAGCTCTTTGTTCTGCAATAATAAGTATAAAGGGTTACCTAGGTTGATTTTCGTTAGTCGAGTTCGATAGTCGCTAGATATAATATTATTATACTGACGTAGAAAATATGAAAATGACCAGGCCGTTTCCTAAGAGAGCGGCAGCGGTAAAGAATGTGTAGAGCAAAGCCAGCGCGGTGTGGGCACTGGCTGGAGGTGCGGGGAACGAGAGCCAGTGCTCTGGCACCGCGGCGAGGTCGTCCCCCGTCAGTCCTGCGCCCAGCATCTCCACATCACTCGGCCCTCCAGACCTGCTCAATGAATCAGCCATTTATATTTATTATATTATTCAATCCTATGAGTCCAATGTAACGTATTTGGTTAAAAAAATACGAGTAAACACAAATTGTCGATTTACAAAAATATCACTTTTTAGATAGTATTGAGCACTACGTATATTTGAAATTAACTTACTTGAAAGGTGCAAAATGTGCATCGTAGTAGGAATTTTCAGTTTGGTTATACATGTTGATGGAATACTAAAGGAGTGAGCAGTCCTCGGTAGTGTGCTTGACCGCCCACTGCACTGACTGACTGCTGGCTTTAACTGTCCGCTGCCTGCTTTTATATCACACGTCCCTAACCAGATTTAATGGATTATATACTGTGACACCTTTTATAGGATTAGTACAGATTTGGATCAGAGGGTAGAGATTTCTGTTGATGTGGCTCGTAATGTGTTTAAGGCTGCTTTAATGCGGATGTAATGTGTTTATAAGATATTATGAAGCCCTATAACGTCATAAGCAATGAATTCACCACTACTTACTAGCAGCTAATTGGAACCACCAGGAAATTGAAAATAGTTTTCGTATGAACTCAGTGCACGACTAAATTGATTGAAGTTTTGGATACTATCACTTCCTGGGGAATACACAGGACTCGTGAACACGTAGTTTTCCTTATAAGTGTAGATAAGTTTTTAACGAAAACATAATTGTCTTGTTTCTAAATTACACGATTACGAGCAATAAATTGGAACTTTATCACAGAAATCAGAAGAGGGAGGAAAAGGTATGTACCCAAATCTGTTAAATTTTTACTAACTAAAAGTATCTACCTATTTTATCTACGAACGGGTCGGTACCTATCGCCCGGGTGTTTGGGTTGATTCCAAAATTGTTTGGCCTTTTGACTACCGAATTTTAAATGTATATTGATATTTATTTTGTGAACACGTGATACATTGGTATATCAATGGAGTTTCAAGTTTGCACAAAAAATACTGACGACATTCAGTGAGTTTTCGGATATCTTCATGGTGCACTCAATCTTCCTAAACTGTGGTTTCCGTTAACAATTCAACAGTGTGTGCTGTACGTACATATGGAGCGGTCCAAAGGTAGAATAATTATAAACTTGACGCCCAACGTGGGGCTTCCAGGTACTTAATATAGTAATTATACTTAATAATAATTTACATATATTTATTTAAAATTCTCTATAAATTACATTTTTAAATACTAATTACACAATAAAAATAATATTTAAAAATATAAAAAATAGGAGCTGACCAGTAGAGGGAGCAAGGTCCAAGCTACCGGTGGTTGGGGCTCCAGAGACAGAAACCTCCTCACGATACGTGCCGTTTCTAGGAGAACTGCCTTCTGTATCAGGCCCTTGATCCATCCACCTAACGCCAGTCTCCTGAGATGGATTTCGAGGCTTTTAGGGATTAACCCATTTGCCGACACGACTATTAGCACAATGATAGCCGAATCCACACTCCACATGTCGACAACCTCGTGAGCTAAGTCTAGACATTTTATTTATGTTTATGGGACTCATAACATAAATAGTGAAAAGTGGGTGTTACATTGTACAGTGGCATTAAGTGCCGTAATGTGCACCTCTGCCTACCTCTTCGGGGATAAAAAGGCGTGATGTTATGTTATTATGACTACTGCGTGTATACCTTACACCTGTCACACTTCGTATCGCCTCTGGGTGCCAAAATGTGTCAAAATGTTTGCTACTACTTATTCATGACAATAAGATACCTAAATGCTACCAATAAAAGAACATAAACGGACTAGCTAACTTCGAGTAGGTAGACATTTTATTGAATTTAACACAATTTTATATTATGAAGTATTTAAATACATAGAAATGTCTAAATTTCGTTGTATATGTATAGAGTATTGTTTATAACTATATAGTCCTCCTCACCTTCTCTTTGCCTGGGAAGTCAATTTCGGTCTTCTTACTCAATAAAACGAAACGAATAATCAACAATTTTAATAGACATCACAACAACCATTTGGATCGAGTACACATTGCTAGTTTTATAAAATAATAACTAAGTACTATATACAAGAATTCTATACAATTAAAGATCGTATAAAACGTTTTTAAAGTTTATCATAATACAAAAGTACAATTCATATTTCCGATCTTCAGCCCAAATGTGACTGCATTTTCCAAACCTTACTAATTACAACTCACATGCTCCAGTACTGGTTACTTAAATAACAGTTCAGGACCACTACCACGTCTAACTTCCACCAGGTAACACCAGCACGGCCCAACTTTGTAAAGAAAATCACTTGTGACTACAGAAAAAAACACAATTTAGTCTAGTTGGCACAGTAGATAGGTACTTAATATTTATTATAGTTCATTTTGGGATATCTATGTCATAGTCAATTCTCTAATCTCCGGTATGGTGCACTCCTAGATTTGGCTAGTCAATGAAGTCAAACAAATAAAGAATTTCCGCTAAACTTAGGCGAAATTAATTTAGTCAGGCAAACGTCATAAAACTATTTAATGAAATCGGAATTTAACCAGCCAAACCTCAAATAGGTATTAAAAAGTTTTAATTTGTTAAATTAGCCTGCCTAGTCTAAGACGACAGAGCCCTGCGCAGCGGGGCTTCTGTTCCTGACCCGTGACCGGAGGATTGTAAGTATCCTACACGCCAGTGAAAATTTGTATGATTTTGAACAAAGTGGCCAAATTTTCCGAAACGTCGGTAACCCGTTTAAATGTACAACTTCAGTCCGAGTGCCCATACTTACTATTTGAAAACATTTCTCGGTCGGAGGTTAAGCATTGCCATACAACGTGGCAATGCTGCCAGCCTTCTGGGTACTTTCCCTATTGACGTCGATGCGGACGAATTTTGTGATGCTCTATATAAATAGTTACCTATTTTAGTTTTATTTTATTAAATTTTTGTGTATTTTATGTTGTAAATAGTTTCTCATTATGTAAATAAAGTACGTTAGTCGATTAAAATACAAGAATTAAAAATAAATTAACGTCCACTACAGTCGAAGTTTGATCGAGTCTACTAGTCGCTTTCAGGATTGGCTAGGCAAATGCCAAAACAGACTATTTTACTATCAGTGTTGGTTGAAAAAATTAGGAACCTTTAGGTGTGACTGAAAATAGTTAACTAAAGTAGTTCAAGCCCGAAATTCGTATTTATTTCGGGGATACTCCGATAGGCTTTAGTCAAACCTAAGATAATCCAGGCATTGCGCAAAGAGACTGCTTATCGACCATTGATAGTCAAAGGTCGATAGACACACTTATTGATTGTCAGACATCTATAGAACTTTTTGTAATTTACACAGCCACCTATCAAAATTATGATGTTAAAATTTTGACCCAAGTCAAATACGTATTAATGTTTTTACATTTCTCGTGATTCCTGTTGTATGTAAGCTGTAAGCTTGTAATATTTTGTCGATTTGCATAAAATAGGACGATGGTACCTATTAACACAACTTTACTACGACTATGTTAATATCAATAGTATAATCGGGCACGTTACAATCATGACAATGTCTAATTTTAACATTACTATTACAGTTTGATGTCGTTAATTGACTTATAAATTAACCATTCAATTATTTTAAAATATACTTTTATGTTGAATAATAAAACATAATATTTTTTTTACAGTGGGAAGAAGATAGGAGGAAGAACCTTAAAAATAGTATATAAAAAACAAGTAACTTAAATTTCACATGCGTAAACATAAAAACAGATTTGAAAAACATTTAAATAGATCACAATTTCGTCATGGACCAAGTGAGGTAAGGTTACTACCATAGTTAAATATTTTTAACTATACCTACTACATACAAGTGTTAAAGTTACAAAACGTGTGGTTTAAAAAAAATTAATGATTCAAAAAGTCTACACTTTGAAAATATTATTTTATTGTTACATTGAACAGTAGAAATGAATGAAATGATTACTAATGAAGTTTCAGTTTGGCACAATTTGAAGTAGAAAAAATGAGTATCTATTCAATATTGATATTCAAAACTTCTGAACTGCTTGTTGCGTTTTTCTTCAACATTTTTTATACAAGAGATAGTTCTCTTGGTCCCAATCGGGTTATTACCCGATTTATTTCTAGACGTAGATGATTAAAGTTCAACTCGGTCGAAAAGTGATATATTATAACTGAAAAACGTAGAGACTGAATTCCAATAATCTCCATTCTTGTATTAATGTTAAGTACCTATTAGAGTGTTGGAAAATAACATGTCATCTAAACTAAAGCGGGAACGCATCTCTACACGAACATCGACGAAAACTTTCCAGAAATGGGAAATGCTACATGTAACGCATATTATTTAAAGTAATTCCGTCCGGAATAACTTAAAAATAAATCAGTCAATTCCTGACAAATTGCTAACCCCGTAACCCATCGTTCACCAGATGTGTTATTCTAATAAATAAGAAATCATTTATAATAACGCCCCATAATTCAATTTAGATTATGACCTGATATCAATAGTGTTCAATGTTCAACTACAGAATCCTGTTGAAGAATGTAACTATCTGTGGGTTAAAGCGAAGAAGTATATCTGTTTACTTTTCACATTATATACACACCTCCTTCCTTACCATACATTAGCTCTACATCGCTTTTTGATTTATTTTCCCACTATGAAGAAGCAAACTGCAGCTTAGGCCCTCAGCGAGTATCATATTTTATCAATATTTTTGATCACTTACATAAGTACACGTTACTTTAATTGTAATTTCCTTCTCACAATAATAAATTTTAGTAAAATAAAAAGAAAACCCCTTTTCGCGAACCATTGATTACGTAAAATACCTGTATACATTTATGTATGTATAGACTTGGACGTAACGATCATGATAGTAAGTCAAGCAATACCTTCAAACTCGACTCACATCCTACACACCGACATTTCTTCCTACTCGAGTTAACATTCTATACTAATCAACCACCATTCACTTAATGACAAATACATATTATTGAGCTGTGTCTACAGATTATTTGGAAATTCGTGCTGAAATATAAATGGTACCAGACTTAATAAGTACTAATCAAATTCTTTGTATTTACTCAGACATGATGAAAATGTAAGTTTCATACATATATTAAGTTCATAAGTTCCATTATTATTTAGTTAAGTATTGTCTATGTACATAAATTACCAAGTATAAAGTAGGGGCCTACACTACACGTATTATTTATGCTTCGTTCAGTATTATTTTAAGATCTACAATAAATCGTATGAATACATTTTTGGACATGGTAAAGATGAAAACATGTTAAATTAGTACAAGTCTTTAAAGTAGGTACAAACTGTACTAAGTAATATGTCTTAGATCGGATAGCTTAGTATTGATATGATTAACATCTGACGGTGTCACATTGTTGATAAAGGTAAGGAGAACAATTATATTATTTATTTTCATTAACATGTTGTTATTCAGGTAACTAAATTAATAAGATTAAGCAAAATAAATATTATACTATATCATTAAGTAGGTATGTGATTAAATTATACGTATTATAATATGAAATTTATGAATTTTCCACAAACAATGATTAAACGTTTATTTTATTGTAAGATTATGTGATTCCATACGAAATTCGCTTTTATCAGTCTTTTAATTTAATAACGAATGATTAAATTAAAAATGATAGAAGTTTATTGATTATATATTATTGGTTTAGATAAGAACCTTAAAGTTGCTTTTAAAGTGATATTGAATAATTAAGTGATTTTAAATATTTTTGTAGATGAAAATATAAGATAGATGGATACAAATGATTGACATTGAATAATGTTATTTAATCTGAAACGCATTAGCTCTACGATTGAGGATGCGATATTGTCGCGTCTATTGCTGTATTAATTATAATAAATCGTCGGTCATTAACAGTGTTGTTGTAGGCCTTAAATAACATCTTACATTCATAACATAACATATTATCTCAATCAACAAGTACAATCAACATTTAGGTTATACGACCCGAGATTTGACGCATTCATATGCAATGCTACGGGTACTTAGGTACTATCTACAGTCAGTGTCTGTGCTCGCAATTCTGTACCATGAGAGGTTATGTTCCACTGAGGTCCACGGTACTACGATTGTTTTTGTAATAATTACTGGAGTTATTACAATTTCGTTATTTTTCTTAACCGACATGATTTCTAATCGCAACGCACTAACTTTTTTATATATATATAAATATAATCGTACAAACATTTACAAATATTCGCATTGCTACGGCACCATAATATTTAGATTGAAAGATGTTATTATTGCCAGTTGGTAGGCCTACATCTTTGTCATATTAGTTTGCGTAAATACACATAGGTATATACAAATTAACTATATACTACCTCATAATAGTGGGTCGTCTAAAAATAGATACTAATTGTCGCCGTTTTATGAAGACACATCAAAAACTCGGTAAGTAAATGTATGTTTGTACAATACATTATTCTCTCGTATTAACCGAAAAACATTGTATAATTCATACAAAAAGTATTAACAAGAGGCGTCCTCCGCGTCTGCAACTCGTTGGATTGTCTCGTCAATGCGAGACTGAGGCTTTTCTCATTTATCGTCAACATCGTGTTCAGGGGATTGCTGCGCGGGTTCGATGACGATGTAGGTCTCTGGCGGCGTGCTCGGAGGCTCGGGCAAGCATGAGGTGACGACGAGCCGGGGCGATGGCGGCGGTGAGGATGGCGGCGGCGCGGGCGGTGCACTGCTCGCCCGTTCCTCTTGCTCCACACATAAATGCATTTCCACTGGGTTCTTACTGCTAGATTCTTCTTCCAACCTGGAATTTAGACAGTATTATAAAATAGGAGTTATGACTAAAATGACATCATTTTAGTTATGACTAAAATGACATCATTTTAGTCATAACTATATGTATACTTACATATTTCTAAAATTTAAGATATTTCTAGATCATCTCAAGTTAATACTTATTTAAGTAGTTTTAGAATTTCTATTTGAGTGCAGGATTTGTTCTTTTTGTTTCTGGCTATCCCTACATAATAATACTATTAGTAATATCTGATACATGCCTGAATGTAGGCTCTTCGATGTTATTTATATTGTTGATACTTGCTACCGGAGTTGCTGGAAAATTAAAATATTAATTAAGACAACCAGGCTGAATTATAACTGTAAAGTGAATATTTACAAAGTTTCACCTATGCTCAATGCACTAGAATACTTACGATGAACGGTGTCGTCCCTGAGTCGCTGCTGACGTGCTAGTGGCCGACGGCGCGTGTTGTCACGCACGCGCAATGTGATGCCTGCGCACGCGCCACTGCCGTGCAGGTCCAGTGCTAGTGACGACTGCGACCCACACTCAGACTCAGCTGCACTGGCACTAATAAAACGCCGATCACGTAAAGATACACTAAGAATTAAATAAAAATCTATAGATCGCGAAATATAAAAATATTTTGCATTTAATGTATTGTCATGAAATAAAAATTGTATAGGTACATACTTATTGCAATAATTCTAAATTAACACATTTGGGAAATGCAAGTAGATAAAGGTAGATTTATACTACAAGCTAGGTACTACAAGGGTAAGAATTACTAAGCTGAAATGACAAAACAAAATGAAGATCGTGAAAAATAGCGTTGAACGATGTAGATATGTGAATTACCTAACTGCTGACTGCGGGGGCTCATCTACGGAGAGGGCGTAGCGGCGCAGCGGCCGGCGCAGCGCACTGACGGGCATGGCGGCGCGGGTACTGGCGCTATGCAGGTCGGGCGCCGATCCAAACCGAGCCCGAGCCTTCCCTCTCTCTCCACCAGTTCTGTGTCACATACACTGCCTGCCCTCATCATCGTCCCAGTCTCTTGCCAACAATGGCGTCAGCACTACCAAACGTTGCCGAATATCGATGTATATGATATATTTATATGTATCGCCCACTTTACTGACTTGTGACTTTTCATTCCAGCCAGCCGAGAGAAAACTTACATTACCACAACTATTGTTCCTGTGTTTTCTATTCTCTTGTTGGAGAATGTGGAACATCAAGATCAAATATTGGTTTATTGCTGCGTTGTCGAACGGTAAGCAATGGCATGAATAATTGTGAGCATGACTGAGGCTTAGAAGCGGCGAATAGCTACGGGTCTGGGTGTCTACAATCTGTCCTGACGGTGATCTTACAGATGGCGTGTGCATACACTCGCAGTTTTTTATTCAATTTCTTCTCATTAAGCAAGCTAGTTACTTGTTTGCATTTTTGAAATGCGTGAGTAAGCTTTCGTGTCATCCAATTTTCTTACAACTTTAACGCCTTTAATCCATACGTATATTACACAGTTGTTCTGTGCGTACACATATAAATAAGGTCCTATTTCATTAGCGACTTATTCAATTGAATAATTTATAAGTAAGTAATGATTTGACCCAAAAAGTTGTTTTGTACCTATGTTCTAATTAGGGTGTGCTAATAAAGTAGGACTTTATAAATGTCAACCTTCATAGAGAAAGACCGAAAATGGACATTACACTCAGTAATTACTATGCTATTTGAAATCTTAGCTACATACAACAAAGCGGTTGCAGACGTTTGTTATTTTCCCCGAAAAACAAACCGCGTTTATATCAAATCGTATGGTTTATAAGAAATGTTTTCCGGACCAATGTTCGGCGTACAAATTTGCCAGATGCACCCCATTTTTTTACCGTTACAGGGCCTTTAGCCAAACGCCACTTTAGCGCTTGTCTACAGCGAGAGTAGAAAACTAAATGTATGGGGATGACACTGACAAGTGTCAAAATTTACGTCAATCCCATATAATTTGGTTATCTATTCTACATGTAGACAAGCGCTAAGTGGCATTTGGCTACAGCTGCAGGTGTAAGAAAGAGCGGTCATCTACGTCAGTACAGTACTGACACTACTGGACGTATTGTGCCTGTTTTCTCCGCTTACTTGCATTAAAAAATTAATGATACTGACATGACGTTAATATCCATTCTGTCAAATATGGGTATCAATTTACTCCTCATACATTACTGTTCATTATGTATGGGACATATAGTTCACATATCTAATTCATGAAGGCCACACGCACACCAGTGCGTTATCCAGTAAAAAAAATAAACGTCTACAAGCGCTCTTAAACATGGACTGCATATAATGTACTCGTTTGTAAATACGTGTGTGTAATGTGTTCAATGATACGTGTCAAAATGGTTAGTTTACAGAAGGCATGTACATGTAGTAAATATTGCTCCTGGTCGAAAAATTATTACTATTACATATAATTTAATACTGTTATTTTAAAATTTCTGCAACAGTTACTATGTCTAGCTACATGATATGAGTGTAGTGTTTTGTCTGTTTTTGAGAAGCTTAGTACCTGTGATGGGTGGGACGATGGCGGTGCGGTAGCGGAGCGAGTGGCAGTGCGTGTGGTAGCGGCAGCACGTGCGGGAGCCGGTACACGCCGAGCTGATCGAGCCGCGCGGGCGCAGCGCACGCTGGCCCGCGCCGCGGCAGGGGCCTAGGCAGCGCCTGTGGCCGCGCGGGTGTCACCTTTGCTGCACTGTCCCTCGCTTCGAATGTCATCACACACGCCGCTACCACGATGAATCCTAAAAAATACCATAAGTACTTCTCTACTTCTTCTTGTGTAAAAAAGTCTTCACATGTGCATGATCTGTGCAATGAGTCAAATGCTATTTCAGCGCTTGTCTATACAAGAGTAGTCAATGTAGGTATCGGAATGTCTTGTGTCAACCACATTTTATCACACAATTTTATTGAGTCTTCTTCTTTCTCTGTGGACCAGCGTTGAAATGGCATTTACCTCATAGTACTGCTGCCATAATAGAAACCGTTCTGTCACTCCCATTAGCCAGCTCCAATGAACCAACGAATCAGAGGGCTAAGGTACGGTAGCAGTAAGGTTTCGATCTCGTTAAGCGTAAAAGAAACTCGTACTAAGCCTTCTGATAAAAAAGTGCATAGCTGTAAAAATGAGACTGTAGGTAGCTATTGCGTAGCCTGTACTACCTGCTACGTCAAAAGCTACGATGTTGTACCACAACAACCGCGTAGCAGCGCTACGGCGTAGCATTCGTAAGTGATATATTTTACTTACACATTTTCGCCTAGATAGTTTAAGGGATGGAAATGGTGTTGGCTACTTTTTGTATCTTTCTAACCTTTTGAACTTTGACTAAACATTAACATATTATATTATATACATATTAACTAACATATACGGACAATTGGTGACTAACAAAAATATGGTGCATACTATTTTGTAGAAATCTACCTCCAACTTCTCAAAAAATAAAATTCTTCTTGAAATTTGATATGGGACTTTTCGTAGTTGTTTTCAAGGTAATTTGTTGTGAGTTATTTTTGTGTTCTACATCAAGAAAGGGGTATGTGTTTTCCCATAGATAACGCAAACGAAGCCGTGGACAAAAGCTGATGTCCTTTATTATGTAGCACAGTCAATAAATCCGAGTTGTCGTTAATTTTTCTAAAGAAAATATAATTATGATTGTAATAATTGAAAATTTGACGATTTACTATGTTTAATTTTGAATAATTATAAGAAAAAATAAGATATAGGTAATAGACCTGTTCTAGAGAATTAAGTACATGAACATGACATACCTCCAAAGCCCATAACGATTGGCCCTGCATACGAGAGGTTGTTGAGATGGAAACCTCTCGCCTCATCCTTCACAGAGATGGTGGAATTGCCGCGTATCTCCTGTGCCACCGACAGCGTGTCCGCGTAGTACCCTTCAAACAGTATTTACACTATATTAACATAAAAACAATGACTTGCATACAAAGTTCTAACATTGTGTCTGTCTGTCTAAACGTAGGTAATCAGTATCAATTAATATTTTACATAGCGATCGTCAAAGGAACGCTTCGGCTTATCTTTTGGTCAGTAAAAACCTGTGGTAAAAACTATCGAATAAATTCACTCGAATTTCATTACTTAATAAGTCGGTAAAACAGAATTATTGCGGACGAATACCTATTAATATAATACTAGTTTGCTTCCTCTATTAGAACCAAATAAATTGAAGAAGCCAGTGGAACAGGAAGAAAAAAGACTCCTTTCGAAAGGTACATATGTACTAGTGTTTTCTTGTATGCAAACGTATCTTTTAATTAAAACTGAAACAAATAATCACGAATGCAACTTATGTACCGACAGTAACCAGTAAATGGATCGCTGCAACAACAATAGCTCGGGACGCCTGTATGGTGTATGGTTGCTTCATCAATAAGTAGGGACAACGCGAGAGACCGGAGGCTGCAGACGGAAGCGTCAGGGCCGTCACGTGCGCCGACGACAGGAAGCATACCATACATTGCTACCCGTATATTACATATGTATGTTTGCCACCCCTGCCGCTTTGTTATTGACGGGTTACGCCACGGCGCCGCCGTGAATGGAAAAATGGCACGTATTGCGAAGTCGATGTAGTAAACGTGTGAAGGATACAAGATTTTCTATAAGGATGAAACTGTTCTGTAACGTTAACGTAATGCATGTCATAAAATTGTTGCAGAAATGTTACTTTAATGTACTGCAAGTTTTACAGTTGTAGAATTGATAATAACACTGCGTTACACGATTTTGGTACCCACGTAAGTGTTAGCTGGAATGAATAGCTAATGAGTCACAGATTAAATGTTCCAAACATATGTGGTATTTATCACGTCTAGTTTTCAAGGTACATGCCAAATTATTTTTTCTATTACCCTCACTTTAGGCGAAAACGAAATAGTTACCATTTTTGATGTGTTGTACTTTTTATTATTTTGTTTTGTTTAGTAGTCATTTTTATTCGATAACGTCTATATATTCGTACATATTTCTTTGGAAATCCATTATGAATACTGGACTAAGTGGTCGTCGCAACTGCTTAAATGCACAAAATAAGTTATGTTATGTTTGCGGACAGTATATCGTGAAGTCACAAACAAAAAATGTTTCCAAAAAAGTGAGAAGTGCATATTTACTATATTTTGGGCGTGCTATAAATCAAGATAAACCATGGATACCAAAGTAAAAACTCAAAGAAGGAATATTTGTAGGACCACAAATACGCACATTGATGAAAGACCCAAAGGAGAACGGCAGATTTTGTACCGCTTCGCTAAAAAAAGATTTGTCATTAAAAAATTGGATCATTAAAGAACCTCCTAAGTACGTTATGTTAGCATATTTAATAGATTTTTAGAACTTGGGAAACCCTAGAAAAACTGATATTCAATAATGATAAAAATCAATCCACTAAACGTAAAACGAACCGCGATTGACGTTTACAAAGTTGCCATGCGTAAAAATGAAATCAGAGCATATTGAATTTCGCTATTTCATAAACTCATTTATTTTAATATCTATCAATGAAATATTTTCCTTTCCATTTCAAACATTTTTATAAGTAAATATAAAAATCTACATCCAATCTAAATCTACGTCTACATGGATTATTAATGGTAATATTAATATTTTAACAAACTTGAATATGGCAATGTTGAACTGGCATTTGTCTTGATGACATTGACAATTAATTTGTCAATATCAATACTGGCGCATTGCTGTTTGTTTCAAATGCGATGTTATGATGTGTTTGTTGAATTTGAAGTTATTTTATTCATCTGATGATACGTTGAGTTTGGCAACCGTTCCTCCGTAGCCCAAATTGGTGTTATTGGCATCATTTTGTGACAATTGCGAAAAGACACTTATTTACATTATTTTGTGCATAGTGTGTTGTAATTTGTCGCGATGATGAATTTACAGTGCATTAATTGCATTCAGAGTTTGTCGCACATGAGACGGCATGCTCTAGGAAATGAGAGTAAAGATTAGACGTGGTCAACAATATCCCATTGTGGACTTATCCTAGAGATGTAAGTACCTAGTTTACCCATAACATATCGAAAGTCACCATGTTGCCTGAATAAAAGAAGACGCATAGTGTTATCTACCCATAATGTATCATTTTATTCTTTTTATTCTAGATCTCTCCTACCGACCATATTTGCAATGCTTGCTGGCAATTACCAATGTATCAGGATGTTAGTGGAAGTACATATGTCCAGCAAACAAATTGGTCACCGGCATGTTTGTGTCGTATATGGGTGATTCATTGCAATGATAAGGTGACGCAGGGTTTTAATTGAAGGCGCCAACAAACAGGAGTAAACACTGGCTCATATGTATTTGATTGGATTCAGCCACAAGAGGTAATAAAGCACAATTTAACCATACTATTATCTATATACAGTGTAATCTAAAGTCAATATCATATTCTAATAATATTACTTATTTTAGCTTAGCTTAGCATGATGAAGATCATGTTCCATGCTGACTGAGAGACCGTACAAGAGCCCAAACTATAAAACCACAACCTGACATACCACCTCACAGTGTTCACTATCAGGAAATAATGTGTTATGTAAACATGGACTAAGCCTCACTTTAACATTGCCATTTGTAGAACAGATGAGGCTGGAAGATGTTGTTCGGCTCTCAAAGCTTCAACAGGTATGCATTCTCATTATAATGTACCTACATAATTATGTATCTATGTGGAGTATATAAGCGGTTTCTAATAGGTTTATACTCATGTTATAATTATAATTTATTAATTAGCATGCTGTTCGAGCTCCTAAGATCTGTGTTATACGAATAACTATAATAAATGTTATAAAATCAAGTAATGTAATCAAATATTTTTTTTATCTTTTCCATTTTAAGATAGGGAATCAGACATATTATTATAACATATAAAACTAAAGGAAAAAAATGTACTTTTTTACTTTATTTACAGTTATCTTACTTGTTTACAGATATCAGCAATTGATGTCTGCTGTACCTATGACACTGCCTGTTCTCTTTTTAGATGAAGTAGTCCTAGAAACAACCTGAATACAATGAAATAAAAGTATTTCAAAATAATACATTTGTTTTATTTTAACCTAGTAAGTAACTATATATTCCATCTTGATAAAAGTGATTTTAAGAATCAATCTATAAAATAAATACCATATTTAATTTAGATAGCTTTAGTTTTATACCAAAATGTTCATTTTCATTTTACATTTTCTTTAGTTGTAATGTGGTGGCCCAGAGGTTTAAGAAGCCTGCTTCTCATGCATGAGAGTGCGGGTTCGAAACCTACCAATGGCAAAGTACCAATGTGTCTTTTTTCCGAGTTATTCGTATATTCAATAATCTAAGAAAGTACAAAGACACCGCTGACGAATGGTTAAGGAAAACATTGTGAGGAAACATGGGCTTATAATTTCTTATTATAAGTTTGAATTACCAACCCACATTGAGCTAGTATGGTGATTAATTGCTCAAACCTCCATGCGAGAAGAGGCTTCGTTCAGCAGTGGCCACTAATAGACTTAATGATGAAAATGTTGATGATTCTACTAATTTGACTTACTTATTAGAAATTAATCCTTACACGCGTGCTAAGCAACCAGCTTTCAGAAGAAATACTTTCTCAAAAAGCTAAGCTAAGTTTAAATCGAATTAACTTGAGACCTTTGAGACTATCTACCTGCAAGATTCAAGGTGAAGTGAGACACTATTAGTTTTATCATATCCGCCACAAGACTTCCACTGCTAAATGTAGGCCTTCTACCCAATGACAATGTAAGCGACATTATGAATTTGCATTTTCGTAGGTACCTAAGAAATTAAAAAGATTGTGAGGCATACTCTTTAAAACTCTATAGGTACATCATGCTTGCTGAATTAACAGGATCATTCCTAATAATACAAAGTGTAATAGTCACTTGAGTAGCAAGCAGTATTTTTAGATTTTAGTTTTTTGTAAATAAAAAACAACCACATGAGAGCACATTGACATTTTTCAGTTAACTGTCATCTGTCATTTGTAATAGATATTTTGCTTACGGTGGCTCTACACTTGACGTTGCGTATTTGTTGTGTTCGACCAAAAAAGAACATGTTTGGAGAATTTATTCTTCTTTGTTTGCTATATATTTGCACGCCATTACATATAGAGATACTATTTGAACGTCATTTGTACGTAGTCTACAAATATTTGGACAAATGAAGCGACTACGCAATGTCAAGTGTGGTACCACCTTAACGTACCTTTTGCACATTTTCAAAGTGAAATAACTTTTGAACCCCAAGTTCTAAAAATATGTAATTATTTTCTAAACTTCATAATAAAAATATCTATCGTTCAGACTATTCACTTGGTTAAAACAATGACTAATACAAAATTTTATAGCGGTACAAAACTTCCATACAAACCTGCCATTCTCCTTTGAGAAAAAGGTTACTGACAAGGAACGTGATGCCTGGTTATGCTGAAAGCAGTTATTAAAGGGTTTTTAGGGAACCACAGGGCCGAAAATGCGAAAAGCTAGTTGACGACATGTTAGAAGCATATAAAAAGTTGGGTTGCAGAATGTCGTTAAAAATTCACTTCCTTCATTCTCACTTTTCCTTTTTCCCATCTAATCTTGGTGCAGCCAGTGATGAGCAAGGTGAGACGTTACACCAGGATGTAAAGAAGCTTGAAGAACAATTTCAAGGGCGTTGGGACACAACTATGCTAGGCGATTACTGCTGGCGTTTAAAACGAGAAGATCATTCAAAGCACAAAAGAAAAAGTTAAAGTTTTGCGATCTTTTGTGTTAAAACTTTTTATAATGTTTTTTTAACCTTAATGGTAAAATTAAACTTAGTTAATGTGAAAAAATCTGGTTGATTTAACTAATTTTCTTTAAAATATGTTTTAGCATTTAAATTTTTAGTAAAATTTGGCACATTCTTATGGAAGAAAAATGAGACGTGATGAATGGAAATTTTGTATGTAACATAACATAACATCACGCCTTTTATCCCCGAAGGGGTAGGCAGAGGCGTACATTACGGCACTTAATGCCACTGTACAATGTAACACCCACTTTTCACTATTTATGTTATGAGTCCCATGTAATAGGGGGTGAGCCTATTGCCATATACCGGGCACAATTCCAGACTCCGTGCTATTACTGAGATTTTTTTTAAAACCCAGTTATACTTTTCCCGACCCGGGAATCGAACCCGAGCCCCTTGCCCGGCAGTCGCACTTACGACCACTCGGCCAACGAGGCAGTCAAATTTTGTATGTATTTTTAATAAACTATAAGTATTCATAAGAAAATATGACATTTCAAATCGGGTACTCAATTTTTTTTTCATTTGTAACGCAGTGTAATCAATCTAAAAATGCTATAGGAATTGAATTTTTGCTCTGACATACAATGTTTGGAGATTTGGATAACATGAAATTATATTTATGTACGTACGTAAGTTACTCGTGACAAATCATTATAAACCACATTATTAAAATTACAAATTAATAACAATCAATAGAAAAAAAGATTGTAAAGAAAATATATTGCTATTTCTCTTATAAGGAAATTCATTTCAGGATAAAGAACCTAAATAATCTCCTCTTAAAGTGATAAAGATCGAGATTCAATTTGATAATTTCAAGGAGGACGGAACTGAGGAAAGTTGCAGGTTCAGTACAATGATGATACGAACTTCCATCTCATGCGTTCTTTTTTTAAGGGGGGAAAATCATCGAATGACTGCTGCCGCCTGGTGAGGCGGGAGGGAGTGTCAGACTCTTACTGACTAAAAACCACCCCGTTTCTACTCCTGCACTTCGAGCCGGACCCCGGTAACCCGTTAGGTTCTCCGCGGCTCCGGTTTTTTAGGTATGGCTTTTATAATAACTACCGCACCAGTTCACTGGCCAAGCGTGTAGGTCTGGTGGTCACAAGCACGAGTAATGAATTAGATTTTGTTTTCTAAAATGTAAGCACGGTGTCTGGAATTTACACATAATCGGGCATTTACTATTACATGGTATCTGTAACGTCACTGATGAATACTTATTGGTCACTTACTGTTGGAAGTGGTGTAACGATTTGATATATTCTAATATTATAAGTATTTCTAAGATTCTAATGCATAAAGTTATGTTGACATTACTTAATAAACACAGTATCTGAACTAAAAAGATCTTAATGCGAATATAGTATAGTTGGTATTTTGGGAATACGAATTTACAGAAACAGGCCATTACATAAATTGTTTTACGACCGTTGAGATTTAAATAGGCATTTTACATTGTTTTGTGATAAATGTACAAGGATCGTTTACCAATCAAAGATTGAAGTAGTGAACATGTTTATGGCCAGCAGTGGATGATGTATGTCGTGGTGGCCCGAAGAATTAAGACGCCCACTTCTCATGTATGAGGGAGCGGGTTCGAAACCTACCAACGGCAAGTACCAATGTGACTTTTTCTGAATTAGATTGTCTTTCTACGATTATCTAGACAGCACTGACAAACCGTGAAGGAAAACATCGTGAGGAAACCGTGAATCGCCAACCCGCAGTGGGCATTTATAGGTTGTTGATAATGATGATGAGTGGATGGAAACGAGCTGATGATGATAATGTAGTACATAATGATTAGCAGTATTTTAAATCTTACCTTATATTATTAGTGAATTATCTATATATATATTACCTATTACAGCCATGGCGGCTCCAAGCAGCATCAGCAGCAAGCCAGCTGACAGAGCCCTGCAGGCGTGCCATAAACAGGTCGAACTCATCTTGCCCTTCACCACCTGGGTATTTATAAGTGAATTTTGTAAATATATAAGGATCCTGTAAGTTGGTCTTGTCAAGTTACACTTTGCAATATGTAAAATTTTGGATAATTTCTCAGTATAAGTTATTTTTTAATTTATTTTCAACTCGACTAACTCTATATAGTATTATTTATTTAGTTCCATTTGATGATATAATATTGACATAATGAAACTGAAAACAGAATGTCAGTGCGCGCGGATTCTACGCGCGACTGTCACGTACTCGACACAAATTCAACGCTGACGCTATCTCACGATTCGCCAAAGTAAATAAATACACATTATAATATTAGCTAAACGGGACGGATGCAGTCACAGCTTAGTGAAAAATGCGCGTAGACAAAGGAAAACAGATCTACAACTTATGGTACAAACATTTATAACGAAAGTCTATATAATGTTTATCTCTGATGATATATTTGCATAATTACGTTCGTAAACATGGTGGACCTTTGTTGTAAACTGATTATGAAATCAATATTTATCTCGATTTGTATTTTCGCAGACAGATTTATTATCCCTCTTGTAAACGGCATTTAAGTGGATGGTAATCCTTTTAATGTATTCAAAGATCAGAGTTCATCGTGCAACAAGTTCTTAGCCAACTGTTGAGTTCCAGTAACCAGCTATCATTTTCTCGAGGTGATTAAATCACAGACTCCAAGCTAAGGTGTCCTGGTATATACGGGGACTGAGATAATGTGGGGAGAACGTGAGATGTAGTGTGTCAGTGGACGCGGGGATAGGGTGTAGTAGGTGAGTGGTCAGTGGTACCTGGACGTTCCAGGTGGCGCCCGAGGCCGGGTGGGCGCGGCGCAGGGGCCCCGTGACGCTCCTCGCGCGCCTCATGCCGACTGCCGCGCGCCGCCTGCCGCCCCGAACCGCGGCCGCTGCGCACGCATGCAGCCTCTCAGCTCCAGACCACCTGCGTCCTAATTCCGTTAATAAAAATTACGATGCTTGAGAATTGTACAGATGATGCTTCACTGCTGCGAGCCTCGCAGGCCCAAGTGATTAATGATTACAGTGATGATTGCCATAAATAGATCGGAATAACCGATATACCGAATTAACAAAATAATAGGCATTATAATTATGTATTTTATCAATTGTAAGAATACTACTAATTGTAAGAAAGTACCTATTTAATATTGAGATTAAAGCTGAAATGAAGTACTGTTGTTAAGACTGTGTATACAATATTATATATTCAGCAGTTTTGGAATTTCAACTGTGCTGCATTCTAATGGTTATTTGCGTCTGTGAGATCATTAATATTACAATTAATTATTTCGTAATTAGTTGTCAGGGAAAAAATTGATCGTTCGAATGGATTATTTTTAAGTACATTAGTATTTACAGTTTATATAAGATCGTTATATTAGTATCCTAACAAAAAATGTTATAGACACCAACATAAAAAATAAAATTTTGTTGTTTTTTTGTAGCCATTTCTAATAACAGTACTTATTTATTTAATTACCTTAACTAATACAATTTGGTAACCATGTTGTTAAATGAAAATGCTTTTATTGGAGCTCTTTATAGTTCATTAAACTTTTACTTTCATTCATTAAACACGAGCTAGAAGGAGGCGATAAGACTCATCATTACGTTTATGTAATAACATTACCTAAGTAATTTATGTTTTTATATTTATAAAATCGCCATAAACGAGTACGACGAAATATGTAAACAATTTTCCTTTAAAAGTAATAAAATTGTGGTAATGGGATTTAACATTTACTTGCATGAGTAAAATGCCTGTGAAGTTGACCGCAACACAAGATTCACATTTAACTTTAGAACCGCACTCATACGTTAACAGGCTGATAGCACCACATTCTATACAATACTAATACATGGCATAAAACACCCAGTTACGCGCTCCCAATAACCTGGTTATGGTCATTACGTATGTGAAAACGCCTTAGTAATTGCCAGTTTATTATATTGAGTTATACATATTTCAATTTAAGTGAATATACCTCTATACACAAATGCCTATTATTTTAGGCAAATCCCTCTATAAGCAGTTGTAACATTATAACTTTGTACTCTAATTCTGCTGGAAGAAACATTTAAACTATCTGCTGAGGTATAAATTCCGTGAATTTTATTTTTACCCTATGATAATATCTAGGTTCCGTCGATATATTTCTTGTAAGTTTTATCTACTTTTTAAACTTTCTCGTACTGTGTAATACGACTGCATTTATACAGAAACCTATGTGTTTCATGTTCTGCAGTGCAGGTTTGTTTTCCTTGTCATTGGGAATTCAATTTCCGTATAATGTACCTACGTCGTCGCTGCGGAGTTAATTGATGGTTGACGATTGTGCATCTGAAAGACGTGTCCGGCGGTGAGAGTCGCAACGGGCTTCGCTTGGTTCGGGTGGCGGGGGACGAGGTGCGCTCGGGCTGTCACGTGGAGCTCGGGGCGCCGGCGCGGCCGGGCCGCCCGGGTCTCGCGCCCGGCCGAGCTCGCGGCGCGGCATTCCCCAGCCGGCAGGCGGCCGCCACGCTATGCGCGCCAACACGCGAGAGTCCGCGCGAGCCGCGGTTCGCCGCTCATCGGGGGTAGGGCCCCAAGCTCGCTGTGAGGGCCGCATCGCCGGCGCCTCCGCGCGCTAGCCGCCGGTGTATGGTGGAGCGCGCCAGGCGGGGGGCGGGGAGGCAGGTGGCGTCGCGCAGGTGCGGCCCGCGCCCGGCCCGGGGCCGCATTCGCAGCGCGCGGAGGCGCGGGCACGCCGCGGCGCGCGCCCGCCCGCCTCGACGCGCTCATGGAGCCGCCGTGGGAGCTCGAGCTGGAGTTGCGACGGCACATCGAGAACTGTGCCTGTACCTGCGACCACATGGGCTACGGAAACTACATGGACTACCAGGTGGCGCCGGCGGCGCACGCCTGCCTGTGCCGCGCGATCACCTCGCCGCACGCCCACGTACGTGTCGTTGTTTGCCCGCGCCCGCTCCGCTCGCTTGCATCCTCCGGCCCTGTCCCGCATGATCTTGCCGCGGTCCGCTAGGGACCGTCTTCACGCTGATTTGTTTGTAGTGCTCATATTATGTCACTTCAACTGCATACCGTAATATTCAGTTTGACAATACCTGTGATATGTTTATGTAACATTGTTGTTTGTTAGAGTGAACTTGTTTTAATATAATTTACTCATTCATCTCGTTTTATTTTGTCCGTCACTTAGATAAATTTCGATAATAGCCCTTTTAAACTGTATCTTAATTCATTTATAGTTAGTGCGACAATTATAGTATCTGTAAGATTGATAGAACAAGTAGTAAAACTTATACTCTGCTGTTTATAGAAATGTTTTTGACGATGTGATTTTTGAGTTAGTACCTAGGACATGAAAGCATTTAATGAGTCATTCATGTTCTTGAAGTACATATAACAATTAATTGCTGTAGTTAACATTCAAAATTGTGAGTTACTGTTTACGCAATAAGAATAATTATTGTACCTATGTATAGCAGCAGAACCCGTGCTAGTGCATGTTTATCGTTACTTATTGTGACAACTGCATAGTTTATTTCGTAACGTTTCTTTCTAATCTGATCGTTGCAAAGCATGGTGTAATAATAATAGTCCACAAAATGGGAAATCCAGACGCTGTTGCTGTACTATATTTTTTAATTGTAGATAAAACCATCTGGGTTCAAAAATACACAGTAAGAAATAATAAGATACTTGTAGGTAGATATTTGTGTTTACCCCAGACGTCGGTCATAGTGGATGTTGTCTTAATTTCCCTTGGATTTGGTTTTCGTTCCGGCTACAGTAACTCGCATTTTAACCGGATCTATAACTTCCTTTTGGTTACAATTGTTACAGTAACAACATTACAGCCCGTGTAATATGTATATCTTTCGCATTCATTTCCTATGGATGTTATTTGTTATATAAAAGTAAAAAATGTATGAAAACATTAACATAACAGAAAACATTATTAATTGGCAATTAATAAGGTTTTCTGTTTAGGTGTATCTAATATAGTTAAATTGTCGACATAATACTAGAAGTTAAAAAATGTATTATGGGTAAAGGTTTACAAGTTTAACGATAACCTTCAAAGGATTATTTTGGTCACTTTGGTGGTCATACAGAATTATACAACTTTCTGATACAGTTTGAAGCAGTGCACTTGACGTTGATATTAAACTTTATACTTCTCGTGGCTCCGCTCGCCCCGCCACGAGCAAAGATGGTTTAGGAGGGAAAAGGCTTGCTTTTTATTTAATTTACTCAAATTACTAAATTGGATAGCGCGTGATGAATACATAAATTAATCTTATCTGGATGCTGTGTCAGTAGAGAACCTTTGTTTATTTACCTTAGCAGAATATAAAAGATAATCGTAAACCACATTACCATTCAAAACGAGTATTGTTCAGGCTGGCATGTTTCGGAATATTAAACTTTAACCTTTTCTTATTTATTCATCTCTACGAATGAAACCATTGCTCCATGAGAATAAAGTTCATTTAGAAAGTTGATACCATCATATTCATAACTAAATTACATCTATTTATACTGTGTGACATTCACGCTTTTAGCACGAAAGGTAGATATCGATGTGCATGGATGTATGTATAGATGTAATTATTAATAGGTGTAAAGAAGAACTTAGTTAAAAAGGTAACACAAACCCGTCGGAGCAATGCGTAAGGCCGAGGCCACAAGGAGACGGTAGCGCCAACATTCTTCACCGCAATCTGTCTTCAGATATGCCTTGTTTTCAGTCGAGACGGTTCGACAAAACGATTAGTCTAACTTGGTTTCATAATACTAGCTTGTTATTAAATCAGTCGTATTATTTTCAGATATATGTGTCTTAACAATTTGTTCTATATTATTCTAAAATCCTTGCAAGAAGTATAATTTTTGCATTGTAAATACGATATTACTATACGCATGAGACTCAGAGCGAGTTTCATTTTCAATGTAGTAAAGCAGTCTTGTACTAAAACGAGAATACCATAATCATAATTAAAACAATGGTTTATTGGGACAGTAAGAAGGGTCTGGAGGTCATAAAATTGTACACGTTTGAGTTCGTTTCGGGGCGCCATCGTCAGGACACTCGTTTACATCTCATTCAGTCGTCATTCAATTTTATTGCACTAAAAAGATTTACCGCCGCAATTCTTTCCAAGTTACCCTATTTTATTCGTACAAAATACACGTGACACGGAGCATGAGCATAAAATTGAATAGATTTGAGGGCGTAACATTGAGTTTGTAAAACAAGTACGTTGATATTTGATGTTTATCTTCTTCTAAGAATCATAAAATGACGTAAATATTTGTGAGCAGAAAAGTACCTCCGGGTTAGTTATGAGACTTTACATAGCTTCACTAACTTACTTCGATGTTCTGTGAACTTAATGTAGTGTATCTACTTTAAACTAACAATTTAAGGTACAGTTTAACTTGGAACAGAACCAGTTTGATGTTTTCCATTTGAACTGAGCAGCTTTATTTTTATCTGTTACTCCGTCTCATTTCCTGTAAGCGAGAGTATCGGGAAATCTGATTAAATTCGTTGTAGATGTTTGGAAATATGTACCTATGTATATCATTCTGTTGGTAGATTAAATCCAGCACTAATCAGAGAACACTTTAGGGTCTACCTTTATCTTTTTTTTTATCTTTTATAACTACTTAATTAATATTTTCTACTTGACTTCGTTACGTCCTAATTGGTTCTCAATGAAATAATTTGTAACTATGCAAATCGTTAAACGAACGAATATATAAAAATAATAATTTAACATTACATATCCAAGAGATTTAGCAAAAGCTTAGGTGGGCACAACAGTTTAATTTGAATACTTAACAACTTTAAATATGCCAGCTAATAGGTTACGAGCGCTCCCTCAAACTTGTGTTACTATAAGCCTCCTTCACACCTGGGCCCAAGTGGTCATACACGTCACTTCAATCCCGAGACATGGTTAAATGGCAGATGGTTTACTTAGACATTTTGCTGACTTATGCCATTCATTAGCATAATGCATGAACTCATTCGTATGTATTATGTATCTTGCAGATCGTTATTTTTCTTTCATTGCCCGTTGCCCCACACGATACATCAATTAATATGTTATCAGTACGAATTATAATTCTAAAAACTAGTATTATAATTTTCTTAGAAACCTACCTTTCTAGTATAAACCTAAAAATTCGTTTGCGGACTAATTCATGATGACTACCAAAATAATCGTGCATATTTTTTTTTGTATATTTGCCTCTTAAAAGATGTTTGAGAGATCGCAGTTCTCAAAGTAAAAATTGGTGAGCGTACTATTGGTCGTGACTTACAAAAATCCCTTAAAAGAGGGTGTGAAAATTTATAAGAACTTTTTTGCAGTTTTCAAGATAGAAAACTATAGGTACACAGATTCTTTGTTACCAACAAAAAAATACCTGCTTTGTTTTTTGTAGACATCTCTCAGACCCTAAAATAGGGGTTAGGGCTTTTTTATCGTTCATTCACCTGATGATAAGCGATCAGCGCCGCCCATGGACACCCGCAACACCAGAGGAGCCACAGGTGCGTTGTCGGCCTTTTAAAAAGGAATACGCCCTTTTCTTGAAGGTTTGCTTGGACAATAAGCGAAACTATTCGCAAGATTAGTAGGTAACTACACATTCTGTGATACAAATTAATCTACACTTATAAATTATAAAGAGAAAAAATTGTGATAAAATTTGTTACACCTACCTTGGAAAAGACTAATTCCAGAACCCTAATTCTGCCAGATGCACACAGACAAACTCACGGGCAACAGCTGGTGGTTCTAAATAAAACACGTAAACATCCGACAACTATACTTGGATTTATAGTATGATGTTGTATTTGAGTATTAGGCTCTATGATGTCATTCTTAGCAACGAGAGCGCCATGTATCGGACTGGAACCTTTTATCAAAGTATTTGACTATAAGCACATTTAGTGTAATAAGCTTAATAAGTAGTGATATATAGAGTTCCTCTATTTATAATGCGAATTCTTCAATTAATGAATTCTCGATCTATTCAGAATTTTTGTTTCAATCGACGGTATTATTGCTTTTCTTAAATATTTTAAAAGAGTAACGATGTACCAAAGGAGATGACTGAAAACAAAGAAAAATAAAATAAAATCTTAGACCAAAGTTATAATATATGTTAGTATTTCATCTAGGAAAGGTGGATGTGTTGCCATAGATGATATCTACATGTCTCATCTCTGAAAAATTACGAAAATGGGCTTGTCAATCAAACTCGAGACCTAGTACTCTAACACTCTCGCTTTCAGTCGTGTGGCTAACAAGTTGAACGAGGCAAGTAGAATCAGACCTCCGTAACGTAAACACCAGTAACTAGCGTGTTATTGGATACTTGCTTAGTAACAAGTCCTGGCATAAATGTCTAGTTAGCTATTACCCAGACTTAGTCTTCGTTACAGAGGGTAGTTTGACTTCCTATTTCTAATAAATTATGTTAGTGGGGAGAAACGTTTACGTAGTGGTACAGGTAAGAGGTAGGCCGAGAAAGGAAGGAAAACATCAGATATCTGTACGTTAATCAAGGCGGGTAAACGGCGTACCGCGCTCACCGTTTTTAACAAATATTTTCCTGGAACCTTTTTATGAGTTCCTTTTGGTGTACTTAGGTATTAGGGAAAACTTGACGTTGAAAATATCGCCTTGTTCACGCATCACTGTTTATGTATAGCCGACATCAAAGTGGTCTCGTGGTTTACTTAGAAGTTTTATCTTTCCCCTTGTCAACTCGCTATTTGCACTGTTCGAAACAGACGGTCCATATTGAGATATCGATCTGAGCTATCTTTGTAGAACATTAGAGCAGCGGTGTGCTCATGAGGGTTCGCGTGGACATCTAATTTTAAGGGATGACCTAGTTGAAAAATTCGGTCAT